AAAAAGATCTGATGTAAATTATATTATTTTCATATATTACTAGCTACGCTATCCCGTTTGCACAATGGGTGTATGAATGGATAGTATACCAAAATAGCGCTTTCGAATGTGACTAAAACATCAGGTCATTCCTTTCTACCAACTGTTTCATGGTTACAAAATCAATAAATTTACTTTCATTCTAATGGCTCATTGTACACAACATTTCTTGCGTATACTTTACTATCCTCATGCTTTCCTTGGTCCCCATTGTCAGCAACATACACCCTTAGACCGTTTGCATGGCACGCTCTCAACAGAGCTACATACAACTGACTATGCACAAAGACTGGGCTGTGCAGATAAACACCTACCTTGTCAAATGACTGGCCCTGTGACCTGTGGATTGTCATCGCAAACGAAAGAAGAGCCAGAAACTGTCTTCTCTTGAGTATGAATGGCAGCTGTGTCTCGCTCGGTGCCATATCGATCCTTGGTATGACTGCCTTGCTACTTCTCCTGGATCCGGTTACAATAGTAGCTATGATGAAGTTTGAGTGAAGTTCATCAACCACCAGGCGTGTGCCATTGAGCAGGCCATTGGCTGGATCAAGGTTGCGCAATAGCATAATCAGCGCACCTCTTTTTAGAACTAACTTGTGCGGTGGCATTCCTGAAGGCTGCTGCTTGTTGAGAAACTCTAGCGGATAGTTCGCAACAACATCATTGTCCTCTGTGACAATAGGGTCTGCACTCGTGTATGTTACTTCGTTGCCAATCATCAAGTCAAGGACCCTGTCATTGATTTCCTTTGCAACATCGTTGTTTGTTGTGAGTATAGTTCTGTTCGTCAGATCTTCGCTGCCAGCCATGTTGGCAACATCACCATATATCTCGTTAACGATGTCATCGCACATATCGTCAACATAGTCGCTGAACAGCCCAAGTGCATCATGCGGTCTGTTGAACACACAGATGTATGCGAGCAGCTTTCTGATGTGGTCAGATGTCTCTGTCATTGCAGCTTCGCTCAGCACATTCTTCCATTCACTGTCATCCTGCAGAAGATTTCTTGCCCTTGCTGCTTCCTCGAATGTGCCACATACAACATTGTTTGCACTTCTTAAGTCGTCGAATGACGTGGCACCTCTCACATTGAGCAAGAGCATTCTCAGATAGAACCTCTCCTTTTCCTCTGGATTGACCGCATACAATCTTGTAATGACTTTCTCCTCACCCCGCTGTCGCAATACCCATCGGCTGTTCTG